TCCAAAAACGGGGACTATTAATTTGGGTTCGTTCCATTCGTACGTATGTATGTCCGGAGCTATATCACGAACACCCATTGACAAATTTCATTCAAACTTTACATAAAGACAATACATAATGTCTTACATATGCGCGTCAAGTTACTTTATGATCAGAGAAAAAATAGCCGACTGGTGGCCATTTTAGATATAAAATTTGCTATTTCTGATACCTAAACATGTCCGCAGCAGTTTCTCAGAAATAACTGGGCCGATTTGAAACAAAGTTGGTATGATGATCATACAAATTGGGTTGTAGGTGCACGTCATTTTTTTTTCAGGATTTGAACAAATATGGCAATGAACGTTTCTGTTTAAATTTTGTACAAAGATAGTATACCAAGAGATACATCTGCACCAACATGATTTTTGTGATTCAATTCAATATGGCTGGTCGACGCCAAATTTTCATGTAAAAGCGCTAAATCGTCATTTTTACATGTCCGGAGCTGTTTCTCAGAGATGACTTGGCCAATTTGGATCAAACTTGGTATGATGATCATACATATTTGGTTATAGGTGCATGTCATACTTTTTCACTGATTCAAACAAATATGGCCGACTGGCGGCCATTTTGTTTTTCATGGTACCCATGCTACTTTCTCTTGAATGCAATGAACGTTCTCTTTCAATTTTGTACAAAGATAGTATACCAAGGGATACATTTGTACCAACATTATTTTTGTGATTCGATTCAATGTGGTTGACAGATGCCCAAATTTCCTGTAAAAGTGTTAAATCATCATTTTTTACATGTCCAAGGCTGTTTCTCAGAGATGACTCAGCCAATTTAGATCAAAGTTGATATGTTGATCATACATTTTGGGTTATAGGTGCACGTCATATTTTTTCTGTGATTCAAACTAATATGGCTAACTGGTGGCCATTTTGTTAGTCCCCGTTCAGGCGCAGCCTGAAAAGGGGACTTTATAATTCAGGTTATGTCCATTTTTCCCGTCTCTAACATTTTCTCAGAAATTCTACAGCAGATATCAGTGAAACTTGGCAGGTTGATGAACAAGTCTCTGCTAAGTATGCACATAATTTTTTTTCCAGATCTGAAAATCCCAAGTGGGTCTTTTTCACGATTTTCATCAAAAATTACCTCTCCCGGCAACATTGACAGAACGTCTGCGCATGCTCAGAATAAATTAATTACTGTAAAATACTTTATTTTTGCTTGCAACATTTTTTTGCTATTTTCGCTGAAGGAATGTTTCAGTTAAAATAAAATCCAGCGAATATACCCTTTTCTTATATTTTACAGTCAACTTGT